TGAAATGGACTTTGTTCTTTTAGCGGAATGCTGCTGTTTTGCTGTGTCTTTGTTGTAGTGATGGTCCAGGCGTCGATAACTTCACTTCAGCCTAAACCCTTTCAGTCGTGGCCTTTTGTTTTTGGAATATGACATGATCTGTATCTGTATCATCTGATTGCAAAATGACTGAACAAATAAAAACAAATCAAAGTTTTTGGGTGAAGATTTCCAAAAGTCTCTGGTGGTAATGTTGTTCGAAATGGATGTTTACCAATTGTGTTATGCATGATCATTTCGGCTCCATAATATTGAAATCGGTCAGTGTAAATATTTACATTATCTCAACACCATATTTTTCTAATAGGGATGTCTTCACTCAACCATGGGGACGTTTGAACGGTGCGAGTTTAGGTTAAGTGAACTAACGTGCTCACAAACAGAGGCACAGATTGCTGCACATGTGAAGCACACCTGCACTGAACCCCCTGCACTTTCCCAGAGGCTGAAGAGATAAATGAGCTCATGTCAGACACACAGCCTGACAGCGATAATGATGAATTACATATATATTAGTACACAGCCCGGGGACACACTCAGGCCGAGCTGGCTTCCACACCTACATTTGAAACATTCTTTTTACAACAGAAAAAAAGTGAACTTGACACAGCTAAGGCCTGAGTCAGCTGGGGTCCTGCAGCACATGTGATGACAGGTATTTCCACTTGAGGAGAGCCACAATGCTGAGATGTGAGCCCGGTGTCAACCACTTCCTGACGGCAGGGGTGAGAGGTTAAACACCCTTCAGTCTTCTCAAAGATTACAATTGAAAAGAATGAATGAGGGAAGCTGAGGGATGCCTCACTTCATTACTCTATGACCGTGATTGTGGCCCACAGTGGAAAGGGCGGGACCTCCAACTACGTCATGAAAAAGCACTGAAATGTAATGGGCCGCAATAAGTCATCCCAGAAAACAACTGATTAAGAATAAACTCACTTAGCAATGCATTGTCATAGAGTAGTTAGCCAATCATGAGAACATTCAGCATCGTATGAATGTGTGCATTTCCAGGAAGTCAATAACAAAACAATAATAAATATGACGGTTTCAATATTCAGAGTAGTTTGAGAAGGAGGAGAATAGTTTTTCAAAGTCAAAGCAGTGCAGGGCTGATGGATTGCACTTGACCAAACTTGTTTATGATGCACATGCACATACAGAATATAACTCTGAGAATGTCTATTTTAAAGGTGCATTACCTCACTTTATTTTTGTATTCATTAGGAAAATTCTTTCCATATCCATGCAGTGCATTGGGATATACGTCCTTTTGAAGAAAAAGTAGTGCAGATTTGTGCTGGCCTGTCATTTTATTTTAGATCGAGTTTTTGTGCAACAAGGAAGAGAATGTGTTTCGGGACCAGATAGTGACCAATCACAGCGGACCACTGGCCCCCACTTTCTTGAGAAAAGCCACAGGTCTCTTGTTAGCACAGACAGCTGAGGTAAACAAGCGGAGTAGGCTAACCTGAAGCTTCCCGTGTCTTTGTTACCAGTTACTGCTTACTCAGCAAAACAGCCAAAAGAAAGTCTCGTCCTCTGCGCTTCCCGGTTCTATCATTTTATGGTCACGCCATACACGTTCAAATGTGCGATCCATATTGTGAGACGTGAGCTCCGTAAACATAAGCACAGGCTGAGGGGGTGGGGGGTAGTGGGGGGTGATAGCTTCGTGAGTGCGGGGAGGGGGAGCAGAAAGAGCAATTCCAGCGCTCACGTTCGAAAATTTCACAAAGTGAGTTGGTGCAGCTTTAAGTTCCTGGATTGATAGTGTCCAAAAAGTGCTACGTAAAATTAATGCATTCTCACTGTTTTATAAGCAAGCATAAAGAACAGGAAACATAATTTGTGATAAACTGCTTTATCAGAGATGCCAGATGTAGCCAAAGGAATCAGAAATATTACTTACTGTTGAATGCGCTGGAAACGGCAGCAAGTCCTAACAGTTGTTGTTTTATGTTTTATAATTGTTATTTTTCTTGCTGTTTTTTACCTGTAAATGCTGCTGCAGTACAGTGTTCATGGTTTTGCACTGGCCCAGACCAGAGCAGAGAGCATGGTCCAAACCAAGCAGATCAAGCAGAGATCCACTGGAGGAATGCTAACTTTTTGAAAAATGCTAACTCACTTTGGACCAGAGCAGAGAAAATGGTCCGAACCAAGCGACTGCTCCACCTCTGCTGCTGTGACCAAAAGTGCCGTTGCATTTTAAAGGCGTTATACCCGTTTTTGCAATGTTTGAATGTTTAGCACCGCCCCCCAACTCGCTCACAGGCTTCTCATTTCCCCTACGCTCTCATAACACGGAGCCATCTAGTTTTATTTGTGATCTGATACGTATGCTAACATTAGCATTAGCGCAACTTGTAAGCTGTACAACAATCACTGATTAAATGGCACTAAAGCAATGCACTGCTAACACAATATTTATAAGTAAAAGAATACCATTAGTTTCGCGTCCGGATGTATTAATTTAAACATTAGAATATATTCTAATATTTAATTATAATGTATTATACAGCTCCTCACAGCAGCAGCAGCACTCCATTGACTTGAATGCAATTCTTCCGATCATTTTTTCTTGATAACAGAACTCTCAAACCAATAATGACCGCAGCCCCAATGCAATCTCTGTTTGTAATTCAGGTGTGTAAAATACTGCCATTACTTTGCAAGTACAAAAAGCTATCAGCGCCTGTCACTACACTGTGCAGTTTTTCTGCACACTTGTCTGTGTAGAGAAGCTAGCGGAGCTAGCCACGCTCAATAAACAAATACATATCAATCAATCAACACCATTAAACGTTAATCGGACAATACAGTATACATATACATCCTTAACACACATGCACAGAAAATTTCAGAATTTGTTGTCAACGTTTTCATGACAAAAATACTGCTTTAATGTGACAAAAAGCGATCGCGAAAAACCCGAATATATATATATTTTTAATTTTAGAATTATATTCGAATTTTGAAGTTGAAGCCCTGGTGTTAAGCAGCGCTGTAGAGGCTAGAGGACGCAGGCTGCTCGCTTCTTGTTCTGTGAGTGGAGGAGAACGTCCCGCTCAGACTCTACTCAGCACTTTTCACTGCCTGAATTTCATACACAGCTGAATCAATGACCTCAAGTTTTCAATTAAATTATGTAGTATGATACAACTTGTATGTAGTAAAAAGCATTTTTATAAACTACTTAGAAAAAAAATCGGGTATAGCTTCTTTAATACTATTGTTAGCTACTTTCTGAATTATATGTTTGTTTGGATGGATCTGTTTCTGTTGCAACTGGACAGCTGCATTTCTCTTACATGATGGATCAAAGGACATAATATGAGAGAGTAGTTTTGATCTCATCAGGACAATATCATGAGATGGCTCCAGTTCTGGTCTTCTATCTATATATCTATCTCTTTATCTCTCTATCTAGTTTGATTGAAGTGTCTCATGTGACAAACATCAATCCAGGTGTGAGTGGAGCTTCATTGGTTCAGCTGTCCATCATCAGGGCTCTACGCTAATCCTCTGCCGTCACTCATCTTGATCTGTGACCTAATCTCCAGAGGGTTCAGAACTCCGCAAAGAGGTGCTCACAGCTTTTAAGTGAGACCCTGACGGTTAATCTGAGACACAACACGCAAAGTAACTCTATGCTCTCCCCAGAATCTCAAAGACCCCCCAAAGATCCAGGATGATTCCACAAAGTAACATTTTGATGCAGCGGAGATAGATTTAGGACATCACTTATTATTATGTGGGTAGAAAGTTGTTGGTAGTTAAGTACTTTGGATGATTGATGATGATGACCTAGTAATTGAAGTATTTAAGAGTGTTGATAATAGACATAATAAGTGTATAAAAGTGTACGCACATTATCTATTGCACTTAGAAAAACCTGCTTGTTTCATGATTAGGTAAGCCTTCTCAACACATGTATGTATGCCATTTATTCTCACAAGTTTTCTTGAACATATTCCAGAAAGGGGAGGAAACAAACAAAAACAAACAAAACAAAATCAATTATTAATCCAAAAAAATAATAGAGAATAGAGTAAGGCATAATAAGAATAATAAAAATTAGCATACACTTCTACGGTATAACATTTAAAATAACAGTTACAGTCACATGGTGCACACAATATGCAATAGGCAGTGCAATAGGGTGACAAGCAGTAAAGTGACGGTATGATGGCATTAAAGTGACTTAATAAGATAACTACTAGAGGGCGGGGGGACAGGTTATGAAGTGTTCAAGCGTTCATTTTTGAAAATAATCACATATTCTTTTGTTATTTCAAATGTAAATAAAGGTCCATTGAAGAGTTCGGAAAAATAGAACACAGCAGATTAACAGCAGAGATAGTCCAGACCTACGGGGGGTTTCTTACAGGTACTTGTCATGTCATATTTGTGTGTATTCTGGTCTGCCATTCAGATCCGAGATAGTCCTTAAGAAGAATCCAATGCTCAATATAATAATGATATTTTTAGATAGACAGATACTTTATTGATCCCTGTAGTAGAAATTCAGGTGTCCAGCAGTAGAAAAGTCATCCAGGTCTGTTGTACAGTGTGACAGCCGAAAGAACAACGAATCTCTTAAAACATTCAGTTCGGCAGCGTAGAGATATAAGCCATGTTGCTACGATTTTTAAGAGAACATCTAAGGCAGCAGCCACTTCTCCACAGATGCATGAAAAACAACATTTTTCAGTGCCAATGTTGAAGACTGGAAGGTGCACAGCTCAAGACACAATAACCGGCAGTCACATGACCACTGATAAAGGGTTACATTCAAGTTAAGGTCAAGTACGAGAAGCAGGAAGTACTAGTGGAGTAATGAATTCATGATTTATTATTCATTTGTTTTCATATTTTTCCGAGTGAGTCATTGTTCCTTTGCTGAATGTCAGTGAAAAGGGAAATCAAAAGTAGCCACAAAAAAATCCCAGACTTACCACTTCAACGGGACGGAAGAATTTAGGGTCGACTTTGATATGCACCACTCCGGTCTCCTGACATCGGCCAATTTCCTGCTCATCTTTTCCCTCCCAGCTGCAATGACACAACAAAAGCATTTTCAGTTTGAACTAACTTTTTTTATTTTGTATATATTCTTTTGGTAACAAAACCGGGAAAGTGGTATTTACACACATCCACATCCTCCCTCTCAGCTCCACTGGGCTGCTGCGAACGGCGAGAGGAGAGCATGTAAGAGCTTGTAAATTAAAGTCCTCAAAAAATACTATTTGCGAGTGTGTCTATTATGGTCTATTATTCAAAGATTGCTTAAATCTCTTCGTACATCAGTTTTCAGGTGTGTTCTCGCCACTACTGTGAAAGGCGCTATACAAATAAACTTTACTTTGTACTATTACTACTAAAATGATGCATATAACCTTGTTGAACCAAGACCTAACACAGTGGACCGTATGTATTTAATTATTAAATGAAACATCCAATATTTTTGTATGGCTCTGTCAGTCATTTCAAGTGAAAACATTTATCAACAGAATCACAGACAAAAGCTTCCTTCAAAGAGAAAACACATGTCCTGAACAATAAATTAAATTACATTGGGTGGCACGGTTACATGGTGCGGCTGAGTGGATAGCACTCTCGCCTTTCAGCAAGAAGGTCCTGGGTTCAAATCCCGTTCAAAATGGGGTCTTTCTGAGTGGAGTTTGCATGTTCTCCCTGTGCTTGCGTAGGTTTCCTCCGGGTACTTCGGTTTCCCCTACCACTAAAAACATACACACTAAGTTAAATCCTCCAGCTCTGGTCCTGACCAAGCCAAGCATCAACATCTGGAGATGGGTTCTCGGGCGCTGTTACTACGGCGACCATTGCTCCTGACGTAAGCCTTAGTGGCATCAGGATGGGTCAAATGCATAAGATGAATTGCCCTACGGGGATCAATAAAGCGCACCTCTACCCTTGACCTTACCTTTAAATTAATAAACCAACATTATTTCATGGCTCTAGAACTGGCCGCAGTTCTAATACTAATCAAAAATCACCCCGGGGTCCAATACAATTAATTTGTGGGACTTGTCTTTGACACCCAGGCTTTATGCCAATTGTACAATGAATCCCTACAACTTTGAATTCAATAATAATTTAGCAAGAAACACCTATTACTTTATTTTTTAAATTCAGTAACAATGTATTTGTCCTAAGCTCAAGTTTGTGTTCAGGCGGAGCTGGTAATGGATCTCTTTTTGGACCTTTCTGAACTTACACAATGGTCTTCCCGATGTGAGAAAAGGCACGTTCCACAAACTCCCTGACACTGTGCACCTCCCCAGTTGAAATGACGAAGTCCTCCGGCTCCTCCTGCTGCAGCATGAGCCACATGGCCTGAAACAGACAGAGACAGAAAGGTCAAACGTCCTGACAGATCATAAAGACAGTTTGACGCTCACTTTGGACACTGCCCAACTCTGCCCTGACAGACAGGAAGTGAACCCGCAACCTCTCCGGCTGTACCTCTGTCCTGACGTCACCACAGCGCCCCATGGGACCCATACTGTGGGAAAGGAGGACAGAGGAGTCCCAGAGGCCAACTGCACTGCTGGCACACATCAAAACACACACAGCCAGAAATGATCTTGCATGACTGACAATAGCATGTTCCAAAATATCCTTTGAAATATAGCCTCATATCAGTGTAGCAGAAAAGGGACTCTTCCACAGTTAGTCCTACTGCCCCAGTGAAAGCTGAAGCTCCATTAATGCTGCAGCACTATATTCCAAAGCCAACACGGGTGTCTGTGTATGGGTCAACATTTATAGTAAACTACCATCTTGGGGTCAATGCCACTGACCTTTGGCTTGTCCAGTCAGTCCAAAAGAGGCTTTGCAGGAGTCATAGTCGCACATGATAAGAGGAAGTTTGAGACAAGTAAACAACAGTCTAACCTCCAAGGCAGGGACCCAGTACTTTGTGAAATAAGAATCCCATAATCAAAAATAATGGAATGATGCGCTTTGCTATATGGCTCTACACTAAACCTTACATATGCGTTTTGGGTCAAGGTAACAAAAAAGTTGGCGAAATGTCTGCCACGAATGTTCACAGACTATTGTTTTGTTTCTTGTTTTTCCAGTGAAGAGGGCACTAATAAAACACACCCGTACTATTAACAGTTCCAGACGTTTTGGAAGTAACTAGTGGACGCAAAGTGCTACGTCCAAAACGCCCAGTTTGTCTGCAGTTGTATAATGTATAATATATAATTAGAGACTGATTCTAGTTTTATCCCCAAACATTAGCCATTAAAAAGTCTTCTGTCCTTTTAATTATTAGATTCACAAAGCCCCAAACTATTATGACCCCAAAGTTCAAAACCTTTGAACTACATTTTTAGTTTATACATTTATTTTATGACTTCCGGCTGGGCCTCGGAGAGATGTAGACGCGTCGTCTGAGCTCTCCTACATTTACTGCAATTTTACCAACAAGACCACATTTTTATATCATCTGCAACCCGTAAAGGCATTGTGAGTCACACTGGGTGAAACTTATTTTTCGTTTTGTGTATTTTTATGGACTTTGTGGACTTTTCAATATGCCAAAACCGCCTAAAGCTAACGAGACTGGAGAAAGTAGCCTAACCTCGGGGAATACCGCTGTACTACAAGCCATTGACGCTCTGAAATCTGAGTTACTTTCTAAAATTGACGACAAAGCAGAAATGCAGAAAAATGAGCTGGCCAAACAAAAAAGTAGTTTGAGAGACGAGGTGAAGGCGTCTATTGAGCAGGCTAACAACAGGGTTAGCATGCTGGAGGAGCGCATGGCTAGCTTGGAGGAGGGGACCAACACGTGCTCTGATGGCGTAACGGAGTTGGAGCAACAGGTGGCTGAACTAAAACATCAAATCTTGAGCCTGACAGAGAAAACTGAAGATTTGGAAGCGAGATCCAGAAGAGATAATTTGCGTATTTTTGGGATAAAGGAAGGCCGTGAAGGTGGTGCGAAAGTGAGCACGTTCATTGCTGAACTCCTGCAACATGTCCTGAATCTGGCAACCCCTCCGGTGATTGACAGGGCACACCGCACAAGTCCAAAAACAACCAAAGCAGGGCCAAATCAGCCACCCAGAGCATTCGTGGTGAAGTGCCACTACTTTCAGGAAAAAGAAGCAATTCTGAGAAAGGCTGCCTCCGAAAAACTCGTCTCTAATGATGGGGACACTATCCGAATTTTCCCGGATTTTACGCAAAGTCTAGCACTGCAGAGAGCAGCGTTCGGACCAGCGCGACAGATCCTGAGGCAGTGCGAAGGGGTGAAGTATGGACTTTTGTATCCAGCAAGATTGAAGATCACCACCCCCAACGGCGTGCAGCAGATGTTCCCGGACCCGGTGAAGGCGACAGCGTTTGCCAAGGGACTGATGGCGCCATGACGTATGGATGCATCGTAAAGTACTGTTGACATTAACGAATATTATGGTTCATGCTCCGTTGCTAAGATCATACAATCTCATTCATATTTGCACAAACATATCATTAAGATTGTAACTACTCATGGTTTCTGTTTTTTTAATTGTCATTTTTGCAAAGTATTTTTTAAGTCATATTATTCCAAAGATAACGTGAGGATAGTTTTTTGGTAATTATTTTATTTTCTCCTTTGTTTTTATGACTCAGAGTAATATTTAATGGGGAAGGAAGAGGAAAAAAGAAAAGAAAAAAAAACATTTCAATTAGGTGTTATTTTATTCTTTTTATTTATTTTACAAGTTTTTTTTTTTTTTTTTTTTTTCATACATTAAGTTTTATTTTGATATACCACCCCTGTTTACGTTTTGAGTATTCAAGTTCTCTGAAGTTAGGGTGTTCGTTTTGTACAGGTACAGGGTTGAGTATCTGTGGGTCTTGTTGGTGTTCTATGACAATTATTCAACTACAATTAATTTAAGGTTTAGGTAGGATCTCAGCCACTTTTGGTAAGTGGTTAGGAAAGTTCTTACTTAGTTTAGATGCTTCATAGTGGCTTGGGAGGTGGGGGGGGGGGGGGGGGGGGGGGGTGCAGTCTCTTACTGTACTTTGGGAGGGACCAGCAGCAAAGGGTTTGTTTTGGGGGGAAGGTGACTTCTGTGCTATTTTTCTTTCTTGGCTTTTCTGTTTTTCCTTTCTCTCTCCTCTCCCTTTTCTATAGGGCTGTCGATGTGATGCAACTGCTTTATAGATACATCCACATAGACTACTGCAAAATTGTCGTGCTTCTGGTGACATGATAGGTCCACCAACTAGATTGGTGAGCTGGAACGTGAGGGGACTCAATCACCCAGTGAAGAGGAGCAAGGTGTTTTCTCATCTCAATCGATTGAAAGCAGAGGTAATCTTCTTACAGGAAACACACCTTCGCACAAAAGATATTCAAAAATTGAAGAGGAGTAATGTATCTCAGATTTTCCATTCTGAACTAAATTCAAAATTTCGTGGTACAGCAATTCTGATCGGTACAAAGGTGCAGTTTGTCCATAACAAAGTCATTAGTGATAAAAATGGGAGATTTATTATTGTACAAGGAAGGCTGTATAATAAACCAGTGGTCTTGATCAGCATCTATGCTCCCAACTGGGATGATTCAAAATTTTTCAAGGATTTGTTTGGCCGTATACCAGAACTGGGCACATACCATCTCATATTCGCTGGGGATCTGAATACTGCCCTCCAACCTATTGATCGATCTAAAATATCAACAACCTCGCCATCAAAGTCTGCTGACACCATAAATACATTTTGTCAATCTGCGGGGATTGTTGACCCATGGCGTTTTAAAAATCCGACTTCCAAAGTATTCTCTTTCTTCTCGGCAGTACATCAGACTTACTCTCGAATTGATTATTTTCTAATAGATCGAAACTTACTCCCACTGACTAGGTCAACTAATTATGAAAGTATTGTAATTTCGGATCATGCCCCAGTTATTTTAGAACTTCATCTGCAGAATAGATTACCACATCAATGCAACTGGCGATTCAATACATACTTACTATCTGATGAAAAGTTCGTAGACTTTATCTCAAAACAATAGATTTTTTTCTTGACACGAACCATTTACCAGATACAAACATTTTCACACTTTGGGAAACCCTGAAAGTCTACATCAGGGGTCAAATAATAGAATATACAGCCCGTCTTAATAAAGCTCGCACCAAAAGATTTACAGAGATGATCAAATTAATAAGGGATCTTGACCAGCAGCATTCTGTTACACCTAAAGGGGATTTGCGAAAACAAAGGATAGCATTACAAACAGAATTTGACCTTCTAGCCTCTAAAAAAGCCGCAGAAAAATACTTAAAATCCAGACATAACTGTTATGAACACGGTGAGCGAGCCGGTCGGTTATTATCATACCAGCTGCGTCAACACTCTGCAACTAATTTTATTGGAGGAATACAGGCGTTAGATGGGGAAATTAAAGTGGATACCAAGGACATTAATGATCAATTCAAAAGCTTCTACTCATCTATGTACACCTCAAATAACTGGCATAATAATAATTTTTTAGATAATATAACATTCCCAATTATAGCAGGAGACAAACAATCTCTAGAGGCGCCAATATCAGAAACTGAAATCGGGAAAGCTATTAAATCTATGAAAAATAGGAAGGTGGCGGGGCCCGATGGGTATCCGATCGAGTTTTATAAGGCTTTCGCCAATAAATTGATTCCTTTATTATGCTTAGTTTACAGGGAAGCCCTCAAACAAAAGAAACTTCCAACATCAATGACCCAGGTCACCATTTCAGTTCTCCCCAAAAAGGATAAAGATCTGACAAAATGTGAGTCCTACCGTCCAGTGAGTTTGCTCACAAGTGATTACAAGATTCTTACTAAAATATTATCACTAAGATTGGAACCAATTGTACCAACAATTGTACACAATGACCAAAAAGGCTTTGTAAAAGGCCGGCAATCGTTTCATAATCTAAGACGGCTTTTCAACGTACTGTACTCCAAAACCTCTACCAAAACTCCAGAAGTTGTGGTGTCATTAGATGCACACAAAGCATTCGACTCGATTGAATATGGTCATCTGTTTAAGACATTAGACAAATTCGGATTTGGCTCAACTTTTGCTTCTTGGGTGGAGACGCTGTACTCGGCGCCTCGAGCGAGGGTGAGAACAAACAATTTCAACTCATCTTATTTTACCCTCCAAAGAGGTACAAGGCAGGGTTGCCCTCTGTCACCACTCCTTTTCGACCTCGCTATTGAGCCGCTAGCTATTGCTTTAAGGAATAACAATTCTATACAAGGGGTCTCACGGGGTGGAATGGTTCACAAAGTCTCACTATATGCGGACGACTTGCTACTATTCCTGTCAAAACCAGATACCTCAATCCCAGAGAGTCTGGAAATTATTTCACAATTTGATGAGTCGTGACCTGTATAATTTTAAAATTGTCAAAGGACAATTTACATACTTGGGTGTTAATGTCACTACTAATTATAATGATTTGTTTCAGGCCAATTTCAAAAGATTACTGGATCAGATCAAGGAGGATCTCAATCGCTGGTCCTCCCTTCCTTTGTCTCTGGCTGGCAGAGTTAACTCGGTTAAAATGGTAATTTTACCAAAAATCCTGTACCTGTTTACAACAATACCAATCTTTTTGCCTAAGTTATTTTTTAAAGAACTTGATGGGTACATAAGTCGCTTTATTTGGAAGAAGTCTTTGCCCCGTGTTAGAAAGGCGGTTTTGGAGCGATGCAAAGAAAATGGTGGTTTGGGTCTTCCAAATTTTTTGTATTATTATTGGGCTGCGAATATCTTCAAATTATCCATTTGGTATAACTTAAATTTGAAGGATGACGGCCCGAATTGGTCTTTAATGGAACAACATTCCTGTACATCAG